ACTAATGGGCCGACATTATGGCTTTAGACCCACCACTACTAGAAGGTAACTCACCTCGAAAAGTAGCTGCTGAAAGCCTGCTTGCTAAGCGCCTGACTGCTGAATCGATAATCCTCCGGCTATAAATCATAAACATAGATTCGCCACTCATTCACACCCTTAGGTCAGATGACTAACCCACCCCTGGTCCAAGGTCAACTCCTTGGTCAAAGCCAACTTTCAGTTGACGGGACTCGTCGAGTCATGGTACTGACTCGTCGAGTCCTTCTCCCACTAACCCGGTCCTACTCTACAACCCCTCTTCCCACTCACTGAATCACCCTTAACTCACTACTTGGGACGATAGAACCGGCTCGCGATCTGACTCGCCGAGTCCAAGAACAACTCGCCGAGTCCATACGAGCGACCTCCCACTTGCTTCCAAATCCTCACCAGAGCATCCCTTATGAGGATTTGGGTTTCTGGGACTATTGCAACACGTTAGATTGCTAATTCTGCATGTAAATACAAATGGTTGGACCTTCAACATCTAAACCCCTCATACTCAGTAACTGTTCATCTGACTCGCCGAGTTTGAAGAACAACTCGTCGAGTACCAGGCAGTCTTCATAGGACTCGCCGAGTTGTTCATCCAACTCGCCGAGTTCCACTTTGGGACTCGCCGAGTCCCTTGACCCATTTCCCATATAGACCAAATTTGAGACATGCAACGCTTCAAAACCATATATCTATGTTCCTAGAGCATGCTTATCACATAAAGTTGCAAACGTTACGTGCATGCATGGCCCTACAAGCTTCAAAAGGCAAATCCAAGCTCTTTATGAGGTCATACACTCAATGGGGACCTCAATCACTTCATCCACATGAACTTTATGCTTTTAATACGTCCACAAGGTCTAGATCTAAAGTCCTTTCGGATAATTAAGCACAAACACATGGAGTTTGGTGTTTTAGGGATTGAAAACCACCAATTTGGGACAAAAATGGTATCTAATGAACTAATGATCAAGGTATGAACTTTTCTACCTGAATGGAAGCTTCTCACAGTGTAGATTTCGGATCTACTCCCTTCCTTGCACTCTTCAACATCCTCCTCCTTCTTCTAAGCTCCAAACTTCCTTCACCAAGTAAAAATCACTCACAAGAACAATATGGGGGCTAGGGTCTCTCACTACAGCTCTCTAGAAGTGTTATGGACAAGGAAGGCCGAGTTAGTGTGCTTAAATAGGGTGCCAACACTCGGGTTAAGGTTTTTGCCCCAACAGGGCCTACTCGCCGAGTCGGGGAGCCGACTTGCCGAGTCCAAGGCCTAGACTTCGCGTCTCATCCCGCTCCTACTTGGTGAGTCGGTCCTTCAACTTGCCGAGTCCAAGGCAAAAATGCATGAATTTAGAATTATTAATTACAAGAAATACGTACTGGGAACCAGGTGCTACAAGTTATTACAAATTTGTTTTCAAAACAATTCTATATCAGAGTATCCCAGAAACATAGTCATAAAATGTGAGGAGTTGTACAATCACGCATTTGCCTTCCCGCGATCCTCTACCTGAAACCAAAACTGAAACTGTAAGCCCAAAACTTAGTGAGTTCCCCCAAAATACCAATACATAGCAAATAACACATATACAAATAACATGTAATGGGTCCACAGCTTTACATATTGGATTACCCCTGGGCCCGCAGTGTGAGTTTGGCTTGCCTTCTAGGCCCTCAGCTCACATCTGGCTTGCCATTGAGCCCACAGTACGAGTCTGGTATGCCTTGTCCGACCCTCAGCTCGTATGTGGAATACTCCTGAGTCCTCAGTATGAGTCTGGCATGCCTTGCCCGACCCTCAGCTCATATCTGGAATACTCTAGGGTTTGTTGGCTACCGCACAGAGCATTACAACCTCAACCCATCCCTCATAACATGCCGACATATAACATAATTAATGCACATACAGATAATCAGATAGTAAAACAGGTAGTCCTATAGATCTACCAACTGGCATAGCAACTAGCATGCATAACTAATTCATACTCAACATAACATCAACTACTAGGATATCAGATCCAATGGGTCGGCATTGGTGCCTTCGACCCCTTAGTATAATGAGGATAACTCACCTCATAACTATCGAAATGAAATGATAAGCTCAAACTCTAGAACCACAACCACGAACTCCACCACTTATATTTACCATAAGACCATTTCCATAAATCTAATTTACCAAAATACCCTCAGAAGTCAAACTAGTCAACCCTTGGTCAAAGTCAAGGTCAACGGTCAAGGTCAACAGTCCATGTTGACCCAACTCGTCGAGTGCAGCTCACTGACTCGTCGATTCCTTCCATAACTCGAGAAGTCGTGAAACCTTCCAATTGACTCGCCGAGTTTCCAAACAACTCATTGAGTCTGTGCGTGTTCACAGTCGAGAAAGCACTAACTGAATCGTCGAGTCATCTTGCTGACTCGCTGAGTTCATGCACAAACCCTCAAGGCTAATCTTCATCAGACTCACCGAGTTGGCCATGCAACTTGTCGAGTCCCTTCATTCCTTTCTCCATTCAGATGCTTATAAGCCACCCCAAAGCTCTATATCACAGATATGAGTTCCTAGAGCATACTTCCCACATAAAGTTGCAAACTTTACGTGCATGCAAGGTACTAAAGGCCAAAATCAAGCAAAAGATGAGGTTCTAAGTGAGGAAAGAGGCACTAACTTACTAAAGGCTGAAGCTTTATGACATTAAAGACTAAGATAAGCCTAGATCTGAAGTTGCAACTTCAGATCATGGCGAACACCTGAAATGAAACTCTAACATGCTAAAATGGACCTAAACTTCAACAAGGAGAAGATCACATTAATGAAAAGCCAAGGTAACGACTTGTTACCTCCAAAACAATGCCAAGATGGAGTAGAATTCAGGTCCACAACTTTTCCTTGCTCCAAGCTCCTTGGTCTTCAAGTTCCTCTCACCAAGATTTTATTCCCAAGCTTAAAATCACACAAAAGAGGAGTAAACAACGATTTAGGGTTTCTGGACTCCCAAGGGGGCTGTAAGGGAGGCTACAAGGATAAATGATCCTTTAAATAGGGTGCAAAACCTTGGAAAAATTAGGGTTTCATCCTCCAGATCCAACTCGTCGAGTTGGTCACTTAAAACACACGGCCAAATTCATTCCTACTCGAGGAGTCAAGGCATCCAACTCGTCGAGTAGACCTTTTAAAATGAAAATAAAAATGTAAAGGTTATAAACCTGAAAGTCGGGGTGTTACACAACCCATCTAATGGACCTTACCGTAAACCCTAAACATGTTCTTAGCCTAAAATACATGACTTATCGTGGCCCACTAAGGCCCAAAGAAATAAAGTCCAAAGCATGGCCTTAACCGAGGCCCAAACACACAAAGCCCATATATGTTGAGTACGCGGGGCGTACTCCTTTGTACGCTAAGCATAAAGTTGTATGGCTTTTACGCTGCATGTACATGCATGTACACCCAACACACTGCTCTGTTAAGCCACTTTTCCATTAACCACTTAATACTCTATTCCAAAGGCTATAATCACATATCCAAGTCCTCTTCCATGTCTTATTTCAATCACTTGGTGGCTTGTAACCCACCAAATGGACCCAAACATGGAAAATAGCAACTAACTTCCATGGAAATGGCTATATCTCATGCATGGTCACAAAAGGATTTCAAAGATCGAAACATTACTGATATCGGAACACATTTAGCATTAAGGGTGGCAACTTCTTTCAAGCCTCTAAACACCACCAAGATCTTCACCAAACCAAAAACACACAAGAATGGAGGATGAGAGGCTATCTAGGGTTTCTGAGGTTGAGAGGTTGATAAGGAGGCTAGGGTTTGAGTCATAATGTTCTTTATATAGTGCTTAACCCTAAAAATTAGGATTTAGGGACTATGAATGTACGTTGGGCGTATGCCTCTAACCTACGTGTTCATTTGGTTCTCTATGTTGCACGTACCCCTAGCTTACGTGGGGCGTACTTCCGCGCAGGCCACCTTGCATGCATGGTATCTTCTTGTCATTTTTCTCCATTAAGGACCAATATTGCCAATTACTCCAAAGTGTCATATCTTCCTCCTCCGGGGTCCGTTTCTAACGAACCTTATATCCACGAAAAGGTGATGAGAAGCCCCACACTCCTAACAATGCGCCCAAGCCTTAAAGCCTTCCGAATAAAACCCAAAACCCATAAAGGCTCAAACTGCCACTTTACCGATATACCCTTTGGCTCCAAGACACAACCAGCTCCCGGATCACCTCAACTGCATTATCCATACATAAACGGGTTTAGATACCTCTCTTATAAAGGCCCTAAGCCTTATGATAACCTACCATCAGGCCACATTACCGAATTAGGAAAGCGATTCGGAACAGGGAGTTACAATATTTCTTTTTTAATTACCATTAAAGAGACAAATAGGGACACCCCCTTTCCCAATCCAACGTGAATATATATCTCTCTTTGTTTGTATCTAATTTCCCACAAACCTCCCAACCTCTCATTGTTCTTTCACTCCATCGACACGCCCTCGCCACCATCGTCTATCTTCTGGCGCATAAAGCTATGTAGACACCGAGACACTCCGACGAACCTACTTCTCATCTTCTTTCAATTCTTGTTGTCGAACTCTCTCACTCCACTAGAATGTCACCCCTACCTTTTTTTAAAGTAGCTAGAGAAAACCTGAGATCAGTCGAAATCTGAAACCAATAAGTCAATCCTAAAACTTGAAATCAAAAAAATTATGAAGCCAAGCCATCGTCACCTTCATAGATACTACCTTCAAATCCATCACCATCGTCACTTTCAACAACCACTACAGTAGATTTCACCAAATCAAGGGTTTTGATTTCATGATGGTTGCTTTAGGTGGTCCAGGATGATGGTTCAGTCATGTGAATGATTTGGGGTTTTGTTATTTTGATGTCCAACGAGAGAAGAGAAAAGGTCGTTGGAAATTTTAAGAGCCGTCAATCTGCACTTGAAAGTCTCCAAGCGATCTGCACTCGAAAGACGTCATCTACTCTATCGATATGTATCGTTGTCAAACCACCGGAACCCACCAACACCACCTATAAATCAAAACACAATGGAGCCTCCGTAATACTCCACACATCTTCAGTTCCTTCAACATCGTCGTCAGTCATCATCTTCTGTCATCTACCTACAGATCTGTCAGAAATGTAATTTGGGTCAATTTTTCTTTGAATGCATTGATTCTAGTTTTGATTTCTGATTTACATTTGTTGTTTGAATTCTTGGTTTTGAGTTCTGGATGTGGTTTCACATTGAATGGATTTATGGTATCACGGTTCATTTGGATTTTTTTAATCTTTTTTTTCCGATGGAAAATATGGTTGTAATTTCGTCTAATATAGAGTTGGTGGTTATTTTCGGGGACATATTAGTGGTAGCTTACTTCGGGAAAGAGAAACTATATGGGTGGACATTTAACAATAAATAAATTAATAAACCGACAATAATAAATAACAAAAAGAACAAGAAAAAGAAATACATTTAAAAGTAAATAAATCAATAAGGGTAATACAGTCATTTCACGTATGATAGAGACCAAACACACAACAATATTACATTTTAGAGACCGTTTGAATTTACAAAAAAAAAAAAAAAAAAAAAAAAACAATCAGAAAATTACCCCAAACCATACGGACCATTCTTGTAATTTACACATTTATACTTTGTAATTTTTATAACATATTTCAAAATATATCATATATATTAAATCATATTAATTTGAAACTCATATATTTTTAACTTAATGTTACTTTATTTTTTAGATGATTGAAATATTTTACATATACAAGATCAGTATTTTCATATTTCGTTACTCATATTCACATGTCTTCTTTTTTCGGTTATTGTTATCCATAATGTATGAAAAAAAGGTACACATAGGTATAAAATGGAAATATATGTTCAATTAAAATTTTTCTACACTCTTATTGATTTCTCTACATCTCATTTTATAGTTATTTTTAATTAAAATTTTTCCACATGATATTGTGTAGTTGTTTTCATTTTTATTCAATTTCATATAATAATTAATTAAATATATTAATTGCAATAAATGTAATAATAAATGCATATCAATTTTAGTAATGACTTTTCTTCTAATTTCAAAAAATTTAAATTAGAACCACATTAGTTTCCTTTGTTTATTAATCTAAATTATGTGTTTAAATTTAAAAAAGAAAAAACACTTTAATTTTATATAATTCAATATTTTTCTAATTTTTTTTATAAATTCAAACTTCTCAATTGTTAAGAATTATATATATATATATATATATATATATATATATATATATATATATATATATATATATATATATATATAAAGCATATTAGTCATCTCTTGATTTTAAAAGGTATAAGTTACAAAGTTTTTTGTACAAATCATTTATACATAAATAAATCATTAATACTTGTCAAGAGTTTAAACCTTTGAATTAAGAAAGGTTATTAAGAAATTTAATTGGAGCAAAATGATAATTTTAAAATACAAGATTCATGTATATAAATTAATTTATATTTTTTAAACTAGACACCCATGTTAATCAAATTGCATCAAATGTATATACAAACAATATAAATATAAGGTCTAAATATAAATAATTTACTTAAAAATGATAAACTTTTTTATACATAAAAACTAATAGTTATTTCTCCATAAGAAAATTATTTGCTAAAATAATTGTTTATCGTCACTGCGTAATATATATATATATATATATATATATATATATATATATATATATATATATATATATATATATATAGAGAGAGAGAGAGAGAGAGAAAGAAAGAGAGGAAAGAGTGTTTTATTAAATATAAATTGAGTCACAACCACAAGATTAAGGTGACAATGATTTATATATCCATTCAATATAATTAGAAGACGGATTATAATGTTGATGAATATTTTATTAAAATGTATATAACTGAAATGTATATAACATTGTAATTGTCCAATGTTCTTATATTTCAACTTCTAAATTGAATTACTTCAAAGATTCTTATAAATTTCATATTTATCTTCCTCTTATATAATTATCATTTTCAATAATAATATATATAGCCTAGTAAGTGTTCGACAAATAGATGTGATGTAAAAAAGCAGATTATAGTGAAAATTTAAAAATATTGAATATAAATCAAGTTAATGATTGAAATTTAACAATATTATAATGAATATATCAAACAAAACGACGTATTATTATGAGTTTGGGTACCTAAGCTTATATACCCTTAAGGGTATATTCACTTTTCCTTATATATATATATATATATATATATATATATATATATATATATATATATATATATATATATATATATATATATATATATATATTTGCTATTGAAAATAGTCAAAATACACTGGCTCAAAAGCATCACTGATTCATGATTCATTGTGTAGAGGAAGCTTGTAGCATGGCCTTATATCACTACTTTTATATATTACACTAATTTTCTTACCACGTAAGTAACCAAGACAAAATCTATAAATAAATAAATAAAAAAAAAATAAAAAAATAAAAAAATACATCATTCCTAACGACATATACTCCCAAAACCCCATTAACTACCTCCCCACCCCTTCACTAAAAAGTGTTTTCTATCTTTCTTATTTTGTGATTTCATTTTTTATTGAAGCAACGGTGCTTCAAGATGAAAGATATTAAGCCTAAAAATTGTGATTTCATTCCCATGAAACTGCATGATCTAACCATTAAAATCTTTAAACAAAAGATTCCACAATAGACTCTCTGGAACGTGTAAAGCTATTCTAGATTATTACAAAAAAGTAATTTCACAAAATTAAAAGCCTTCCACAGATGCCATTATGCAAAATACGAGAATATTTCATGATCTATACACCCAAATGTAGATTGTATGAATGATTTTAATAAAATGTAACTTAGTCATGACTAAAATCAAATCAAAAGCTTAGTGATTATAGAATATAAGAACATTGTATCATCATCATCATCATTCCCTTTTGGTCAACAAAACAACCAAACATCATCCATTCTATTCAAATAATGGAAAGATGGAAATCAATAAAATTACACTAAACAAAGCTTTCAAGTCTAGTACACCTTTCTTCATACCTTGTAGGCTTATGGTTATATATATCTCTTCCAACTATTTGTCTATTGCATACATAAAACATAAAACATAAAACAGACCCTTTCACCAATTAAAAACGGGCGAAGGGCGGATATTAAAATACGTAGCTGACCCTAAATATGCACACACTAACGATATGTATACTTTAAACCAAACAGATGAAAAAAAGGTTATGAAAATACAGATGAAGGTCAAGATGATTACCCCAACAGCATTCATCAGGCATGAGACACCAGCAATCTCCCCTTCTGTTCCTTGATGAGGAAAACATCCTCTCGACTGAAAATCCAAAAGCAATTTATCCTTTTTGGAAAACGTATCCATCAACCAACAACCAATCTTTTCTTCAGACTCCGGGATATCATTCACTACAATACGCCTCACATTGATATGAACTTCTGAAGGAGCCACCCCAAATGCATTGTCTAAGAATGTTGGGCAACGGTTTTTGTACCCAATTGTGATGTCATAAACTGCAATATATGAATAATGAATATACCAAAAACAAAACAAAGTGTTTTAAAAACTAGATTAAAGTCATTATTATAATAAAGAATACCTGCATCCAAACAGTCCCTTAGTTCCTCCATGCAGGCAGCAAATCCCTTTGTTTTTGGGAGTAGGACACTGTGTAAGATAGGCAGCCCGTTTTCAGATGCATATTTTTGGCTCCGAATGCACTTCTGTTCACTATAATAAATATATATATATATTAGTCATTGATGTGATGGGATATATCAGGTTGTACTGTGTTTGGCATGTAGTGGACTGACTGGGACTGATGTCAATGGGACAAAATTTTGTAACTTTGTGAAAAAGACGTGAATGCCCTCGTATCATGTGTAAGAGAAAGTATGAAATATTGTATTACGTGAAGTCGGTGCCCTCGGGGAAAACAGCAAGCCAGAGAGGATCTTGATGATTTTTAAAAGATGAAAGCATGTGTCGCATGGTTGACTCATCAACTTCCCATTTTCTCTCCACTGAAATGAACTCCAAAATGTGAAAAGCCCAACCAAATACAGGGAGCTTCATTAAACTGCTCTTGAGGACATATTTAATATACCCTAAACGCCCTTTTCGCAAGGCGAGATCCCATAAATACATCCAGTCAACTTCAGTTCTGTGGTTGGCAATGATCAAGACTCTCTCCTCTCTTTCTGGAAGAGTTTCTCCAGAAAAGATTACTTTAGTTTTGTTTATTTTCTCAAATAAAAAAGGCCATAAAGCTAGCCAGCTTCCAAAGAAAAACGCTGTTGCTTTTCTGCTGTAATGTATGCTGAAAAATCTTAGGATCACAGCTGTGAAGAAACCACAGAAGACCAATATCACGAATGCTGTTGAAAGCAAGATTAGTAAACAGAACACGCCACGTAGGACTCTTAATGGAGTCAGAGCGCGTGTTTCTTGTTTGTTACTACTCTCAATAGCCATCTTCTTTCCACAATGTCCAAAAGACAACTTGATACTTCAATACAGTGTAAGTGAAGCCAATGTTACAAATTTACAAATGAAGAACTTAGTGGCTCTACAAAATTATAGCTCCTGCAAGAAAAGAGCTGATTAAGAACATTAGAGTGGGTTGAAATTTGAAAATATCATTGTATGCAAATTGCACTAAATGCATAGTTGCCTAATAACTCATAAAGAAAAGAAATGAGAGGAAAATGGAAATTGCAGAGGTCTTGATTTAGTGATATGTTATATACTATGCAATCAAGAGTATCTTGATTTGTAGTATTTTGGTTGAGTGGTGCTTCCCATTCTTAGTTTGGTTTTAATCTAAGATTAGTGTAGTAATTAGTAGATAACTATATTTTGTTAATACAATTGCTCGGTGTTCATAACCATATAATTAACTTATTTTAGGTAGCATATTGTAATCAACTGTGAAGATACAAGTGTGCAATGCATTGGTACTACTACTTATTACCACTATGCTCTCAGTGGGGAACTCTTTTCAAACACTTGGTGCTCATAAAAAGTGAAAGGTAATGGCGTTGCATATCTTGTCCCCTCCTCCTCCCAAAAAGTAGCATGGACATAGCATCAATGTGAAAACCCATTCCCCAAAAAATGAAAAACCCAGCTGAAACTGACCTAGGAAATCTAAACAAGTCCAAGAATGGATCAACAAACAGAGAAATGGAAAAAACTGAAAACAGAAAAACGAGCATCACCTCACCTAGGAGTACATGAAAAAGAGTAGCAGCTAGAAGGGCTGCTGCTAGTCAATAAGAATGCCCTTAAACAGTCCAAGAAATGACACCAAAATGTGCAAAAAGTAAGATCGAGTGAAGAAGCTCAAATTCAAGTTACGCATTGAAAAAAAAGAATAAAATAATCAATATGGACACAGATCCCATTTTGGAATTGCGCCGCCAAACTAAACAAATCAATTAGCGAATCTCATTAACGACACAAATAATTAAATATATCGATTTAGCCTATATACATGCAACTTCAATATAAAATAAAAATGCACCTCGTTCTGCTACTAAACCTAGTGAAAATCAAACTCCAAATGATCTAATAAGAACGCACAATCTCCAAAGCAAACGGTGGTAATAGGCAATAAGAATCGATCGTACGAAGATATGAAGTTTATGCAACTGTTGAATCATTGTAAGATACATAAAATAACATTAGATACAAACCTAAGAAGGAGATGATGACGACCTTATTTGTTGATTGAAGCGTTTTAGGGTTTAAATGGCACTGTAACGGCAATGGCGATCAGCTACAGTAACTCTTACCCAAAATCTTTAGAGTTCAAGAGAGAGAAAGATAGAGCGCTCTGCATAAATTCCAGTTGGATTCTTCACAGCCTTCAGCTTTATTTTTTATTATTGACGAAAACGAGAAAGGCTCGGTAATTGTTGTTTCCGTTATTCCACTTACTTAAATTAGGGGTGTGTGTGGGAGTTATTTTTAAAATCACTTATTAATCTATGGTTTTTAAAAGCTTAATAAGTTAGAAAAGTGTTTTGGTAAATATTACTAATTTTTTAGTGTAGAAAAAAAAAGTTTTTTAAAAGGTCAGAAAATTTTGATTTTATAAAAAATCAATAACCTCACGTTAATTTTCATTTCATGTTCAATGGAAGTGAAAAAAGATATTTTTTCTGTTATTCCACTTGCTTAAATCAAGGGAGCTATTCTCACATAACAATTTTTTTTTTACTGCAAACAACAATTTTAGGGATTCTAAGCGAAAGAAAAAAAACCCTTAAATTAAAGAAGATGGCGAAATTAGACTTGGAGTGGAAAATAAAAATAAAATGGATGTGTGATGGCGATGAAAACTCAGATTTTTTCATAACACGTTAAAGATAAAAAGCAACAAAAGACAATTTGCATGGGCTTATGGTTAATGGAAACTAGGTTACTGATGATTCGGCTATCAAGACAAAAGTTTGACGAATTTTTGGACTTAAATTTCAGGAATACTGTTATGATCGTCCTTATTTTACTACGTCTATATTTCAAGTTCTCTCTGTTGCAAACAGGTGTTTCTTAGAGGCTCCTTTTGAGCTAAGTGAAGTCAAAGAGACCATTTGGAACTGCGGAAGTGAAAAGGCATCGGGCCCCGACGGGTTTACTTTCAACTTCTTCAAACATTTTTGGCCTCTTATTCAGGGCGGCATAATGAGGTTTCTGAAGCACTTTGAAGCTTTTGGTTGTTTATCTAAGGGAGTAACTTGTCTTCTCTTGCACAAAACAAAAGGCCAACTCTTGCTTCATGACTTTCGGCTCATAAGTTTAATTGGAAGTGTTTATAAGATTATCTCTAAGATCCTCACCTCCATATTAAAGAGTGTTATCAGGACGTTGATTGACGAAATTCAAATAACGTTTATTAGAGGTCGATGTATCCGTAATGGTCCAATAATTATTAATCAACTACGTTCTTGGGCGAAAAAAAAACAAGAAATAAGATGTTCCTCCTCAAGGTGGACTTTGACATGGCTTTTGATTGTATAAATTGGAAGTACTTGTTTTCAGTTATGAGGCAAATAGGTTTTGACGATATTTGGATGCAGTAGATCAAGGGATTTCTCTCGTCCTCTAAAGCTTCTGTTATCATCAACGGAACGGCTACTAAATAATTTCCTATTACTAGGGGAGTTCGTCAAAGAGATCATCTATCACTTTTTCTTTTCATTGTCACTACGGAAGGTTTAAGTGTTGCCATGAAATCCACATGTGATCGCTCTTTGTTTCATGGGGTCAATATTCCAAACAATGGCACCTCGATCTCTCATGTGTTATATGCTGACAACACTATTTTTGTTGGTGAATAGGCAAGATCCAATTTCTCGAATCTGGCGAAAATTCTAAAATGTTTTCATGCAACCTCCAGTTTAAAAGTCAATTTTAACAAGTGTAAGGTGTATGGTATCAGGGTCTCCGATTGTAAGGGGGATAGTTGTACGAGGGTAATCGAATGTGATGCGGGTTCTGTTCCCTTCAAATATTTAGGGGTGCAAGTGGGCGCTAGTATGGAGCTGAAACATAACTGGAAACCTATAATCGAGAAAGTCCAATCCAAGCTCTCTGTCTGGAAGGTGAGGGCTCTATCTTACGGCGGGCGGTTGACTCTGATAAAATCAGTGTTAGGTAGTCTTCCTTTATATCATTTTATTTATTTAAAGCCCCTAAATTGGTTGTCGGTCATCTTGAAAAGTTACGAAAAAATTTCTTTTATGGTGGATGTGTGATATGGGCCTATTTAGTCATATAATTTATATATTATCTTAATACTTTATGTTGATTTTATCTCATTTAATAAACAAAATGTGCTTAATTAGTTTAGAATTTCATTTTTCAGCAACAATGACATGCTCGGATGGAAAAGGAAGCGCATTTAGCAATTAGAAGCTTGGATCTTGGATTTTGAAGAAAGAAGGATGTTGTTGGACAACTTGACCCCTCGTCCGTGTTCTGGCCATATCTCATGAACCGTAACTCCGATTGATGATATTCAAAATATTATGAAAACTAGTCACAATTTTGGACGACTTTCGTGTTTTGATAAAATGTTGATTCCAAATGAACTCAACGAGTTGATCATAAGTTTCGCAATTCTTGATGCTGACTTGCCGTACACGCGATTTAAATGTCAAACTCGATGAGTTTTTCTCAAAAACTCAACGAGTTGGCTCTAATTTCATAATTTATATATAGAATCGCTTTCTTTCAAAACCCTAACTAATTCTGGAAGATTTGGATGATTTTTGGAGGCCAAAAGGGTTCTTAGAGTTGTGGTTTTCGAGAATTCAACCTAGAAGTCTCTTTATCGTATTGACTCTAGTTGTTTTTTGTTCCCTTAGCTGTTAATTGTCTTTTGTTTGAGTGTTATTTGATTACTAAGTTTCTAGTCTTGCAAAACTAGAGAAAACCCCCCTTTCTATTACTTGTTTTATTTAGACAATATTATCATTTATTTTAATTATTTATCGTTCCCTGTGTTCGATACCCTACTTACCTGAACTAAACTGTTAATCAATAGGTATACTGTCTTTCGTGTATTTTTCTTTGTGGTTAAGTTAGTAGGATTAAAACTAGTACAATCACACGTATCAATGTGAAGACGAGGAAAAAATATGTTGGGTTGAGTGGGAAGTTGTTATCGATCCGAATAACAGAGGTGAACTTTGAGTGGGATCTTCTGATGGAAAATGTAGGTTACAATAATAATACTTTAAGCGGAAAAATACTTAACAATTAAATGATTAAGGAACATGCAACCTAAATAGATCTATATCTTTCACATAAAGGCAAAATACTATAAATTATCAAATTACAACAACCCCAATGAAATCAGAATTCATAAAGGAAGATTGCATACCTTTTGATGTGTTATAGTAAACAGATCTAAAACCCTTCTTCAAAGCTTTAGAAGGAAGCACCAGAAATCCCGTGCCTCTGATGGTTCACACCTAACCCTAGCAACTAGGATACTTGAAGAGAGAGGAGAGGGAGATCAAATTTTCGACCTTGCTCTTAAAAAAGAGTGGTCAAAATTTGAAGGCCAAGGTTTTCTTTTATAGTGCCACTTGGAAACCCTAGATAACCCTCAAATGAATAAAACAATATTCCAAATGCCCTGGAATACCCTAGAAACCATCCACCCATTCAAAGGAAGGTTATGGAACCTCTCTTGTTCAACTATTTAATAATTGCACTTTAACCCTTGCACTTTTGATTAATCCAGTTAACCCCAAAATTAATTCTAATCAATTTTTGATTAACTCTTAATGATATATTACTATTTTTAATTAATATATTATTTTCATAATATATTAATAAATTCATTTATTGTTATTTATTAATTATATAATAAGTCAATAAATTAGTCTCTCTCTCTCTCTCTCTCTCTCTCTCTCTTTAAAAGTCATCATATTCAATTATTAGGTCTGAGGGCAACCCAAAAGGACTTTGCTAAGAAGTGAAGTATATACTAATTCAGTTATTGGCTTAAACACCTAATCCAACAGTCTCCTACTTGGATAAGTCTATAACTACAATTACCAGTATAACTTTTAAATTAGACAACAAATAGTGCTTCCATAGCAACTGTCGAACTTTGAACTAAACAGAAATTGGTCCTAAGATAAGTGATCAAATATTCATCCATTCTTTTGGATATCAACTGGACATAAGACATGGATTATAATCAATCTCATTGTCCAAAATTTTGTTTCCCGGTTTCCTGATTTGTGATGACGTCATAAAACTTATAATTGAACACATTAATTTAGTCCTGGATGAGCCCATCACTATAAGTCAACACCAAATCAATGAGGGACCCAAAGATATTGCTTTTCCTGTTAAGGCAAAAGGAATGAATAAACTTTGACTCATATGCTTGTATCTTTTACTCACTAAATCGCACATGACACTACGTTTTATAACATCATGTTACCGATGTGTTTTCACAATACCAATGTACAACCAACTTGTAAATTACAACTCATATATCTCAGTTTTAAGAATATAAGACATTATCATCTCACAATTACTCGTGATATAACCCATGAGGTAGTTCTCTGAGCATGGGTTTATCCAATACTCAAATCTCCATTTTCTAAGTACTCATGAACGTTGCAGCAACATAATTTCTATGTCTAAACTCCTTAGGCAATCTACAATCCAATTCATGACAGTCTTCATTAATTAATTACTTCCCAAAGTATAAGCGACTGTGGAGCTTCGAATAATCAAATTATTTAGGAAGTAAAACATGCAAAGTGAAACACAATAATAAACTAATTAACAAAGGTCTCAAAACTATTGAATATAAATAATATCTATTATTTAATCACCATAACTATTACGCCTTTATTCAATGCAAAATGTTTCGGGTAATCAACTAACTACTTAAATCAAACATCAGTCATGTCATGTTATGGACATGCATACTATGCCTTTCTATGGTCCTTCTTCTATGAATAGATGAACTAGATATTATTACTGTTGGATATAGTGTCTAAGTCCATAACTATATTTGGTATGTACTTGACCCGACCCGGTATGGTCCATTTGGGTTGCACTTCACCCGAACAATTTATGGATAATATTAGAGAATGGTACAAGTTATGATTTATTAATATATTATAAGTTCTAATATATTAATATAAGATCATATTATTTAATTAGTATTGATCTATAATTAATCTAAGATTAATTTAGAGATCAAAGATATTACTAATTATATATGGGCTTCTATATTTATATAGTGTGGGGTTGTGGGCTAATGCTTATTTGGAATGGGCTAGGCTTGCATGGAAAAGTCCATGGATACTCCATGGAGCTTTAACCCATGGATCTCATGGAAATGAAGAGACATGGGTATTAGGGTTTACATGGATGTAACCCTAATCCACCACACTATATAAAGGAGGCTTTGGTTCT